CTCCAACACCACCCCATTCTGCCTAGAGTGTGACACCTCCAACTTTGCGATGGGGGCAGTCCTCTCACAGCTTCAGTCGGATGGAGACTACCACCCAGTGGCCTTCATGTCTAAGAGCTTCTCGGAGGTAGAAAGGAACTATGAGATCTATGACAAGGAGATGCTTGCCATAATACGAGCACTTGAGGAATGGCGCCACTTCCTAGAAGGGGCCCCAGAGAAGTTTGCCATCTTCATGGACCACAAAAACCTCTCATACTTCTGAACGGCCCAGAGGTTGAACCGGTGACAAGCATGCTGGTCCCTCTACCTCTCCTGCTTTGACTTTGTGCTGACCCATCGCTGTCAGGGACGCGTCCGGGGTCGAGAGGGCCCGGGGGTAATGCCCGGCACTGAGGCCGTCGCGGGGTGTGGAGCAGGCGTGCGTACTGGCAGGCCCGATCCGGGACAGTGGTCCCTGGCCACTCAGACTGAAGTGGAGAATGTGTTATTATTATTAAAGAGGAAAACTATACTACTTACCTGAAGTGGAGAATGTGAGAAGAAGGTTACTTCTTCGGTTCCCACTTCAGGTACATTTATGTACATGCGGCTTGAGTCACATGACAGGTGCCACGTCATCCTCGGAGGCAGCCGCAGGCATCCGGGTGTCCCCGTGGGGGATCCCGAGAGCGTCCGCTACATGCGCGCGTGCTGGGCACAGCGGGAAGCCGTCCGGGGTGTGTGGGCCGGACAGGTCAATAGTACATCGATACAAGGGAAGGTGGTCCGTGTAGATAGAAAGAAATAAACAGGAAGAGGAAGATGAGAAGAATGAAATAAAGAAAGGGGAGAGAAAAGGGAAAAGAGGGGGGAGGAGAGGGAGGAAGGAGGGGGGAGGGGATAGACAGCGGGGAGCGGGTGTGGTGTGGCCGGGTGGGCCCGGGTGGGCCCGGGTCAGGCGGGTGTGCCCTGACAATCGCCCAGGGAAGCTCATGGGGAAGCCAGATGCTCTGTCACGCAGAGCAGACCACCCCTGAGGAGAAGGGGACAATACAGGCATAACCCTACTGCACCCAGAGTGGTTTGAAGTCCAGGTGACTGAGGGGGTGTTGATGGAAGGTGAGGAGACAGACATGTTGGAGAGGATTCGAGAAGGGAAGGAACATGATGAGGCAGTGGTGAAGGCCTTAAGAGAACTAGGAAAGGTTCTCTGCACCCAGACAAATGGGATAGAGATGGGGACTTGATCCTCTACCGGGGGCGAGTATACATCCCCAAGGACCCTCAGCTCTGCCATGACCTGGTGAAGTTGCACCATGACTCGGTCCCAGCAGGACACCCAGGCAGATGGAAGACTCTGGAACTGATCTCCCAGAACTACTGGTGGCCGGGAATGTCATGATACATAGCTAGTTATGTCTCAGGCTGCGACACCTGCCAATGGGCAAAATCCTTCCCCTCCCGGAAGGTTGGGAAGCTCATCCCAAACAAAGTGCCCTCCCACCAATGGCAGATAATCTCGGTGGACACCATAGGTGAGCTCCCAGAGTCCAAGGGCTACAATGCGATCCTGGTGGTAGTAGACCACCTCTCCAAGAGGATCCATGCTGTTCCTACTGTCACCACAGTGGACTCTGCAGGCATAGCCTGGCTGTTCCTGGAACATGTCTGGCATGCAAACCCATGGGAAAAATCACGTGGGTCAAGGCGAGCAACTTGCCTTAACCCATGTGACACCTTTTCTGCATCGCAGGAACATGCTCAGCTTCTACCCATAGTCACATTATGAACTGTACAGTACATTTCCCTTTTTTAGCAGCCAAGTGGGGAATAGGGAAACTTACCCTTCTTCTCAACTCAATCCCCACTTAGGCAAGTTGTAGCTACCTTCCATAATACATGACAACTCAGTCCCCGCTTAGTGAGTTTGAGGAGCTTGGGATAGGATCCAGCACCTGGCTGCCTGGGACACCGCAAGTGTCCAGCTCTGAGGTAGGGCTGCCCCTGGACAGAGGCCGGGCCCTGACAACCTCATTCCACATAAACACCATTGCCAATCCTCCACAAGCTCTGTAAGCTTCTGGACCATTCTTGGCACCCTTGCCGCTTGTAGTATACATTCCACACTTCTCCCTCATCCTTATTTGGACTACTGCTTCTTTACATTTAGCCAGTTAGTCATCAACCCCACTTCACCTCATCTTCCTGCCTGTCATATCCATCTACAGCCATCGTCCTCCACTACCTCCGACCCTTCTGGACTACCTCTGCTCCTTTGTCACTAACCTCAGAGCCTCCATATTCTGCAATCACCTCCAACTCCCTCAATGGTCACCACCCCCTCAATTCAATATATTACCTGTGCCTCCCTAAGTATGGAACCCCAAAGGCCTCTGATGTCTGCTAGCACACTCCCACCCTTACTGGGCAATTCACTTGCTTGCCCTGCAAGCCTCCCTTCAGGCCTATCCCTCCTTTCCATTTCTGGGTTATAGCCTGCCATTCCGCTAACCCCATAACCTGACTCATCAGTAATATTCAGTCCCCTAACATTTAACTCCGTTAACTCCACTCTGCTCAGCCCCACCCTCGCTGTAACTATATATACATAACTTGTAGATAGGTTACACCCTAGTGATAAAATCGACTAGAGTTATTCCCCCTTTTAGTTCTCACTGCCAGTAAGTAAATTAGGGCACAGACGTGTAACTAGGCACAGTGCTCCTGGTCTGAGTTGCTGAGGCCAAAACCCTCTGCCATGGAGATGTATCCTTTGTCTCGTATCCAGCCTCTAACACTGCCCCTCTGGCCTTTGCCCTCCTTACCTCCTTTTGGATGTGCCATAGAGTCTAGTTTTCTCATGCTTTTGTCTCTCCATTATATGTAGGTGCTTGTACATACTCAATGACCCTCAGTCTAAAATCGACCAGAAATGCCCCCTAGAGACTTCTCACTTGCTATGTCTGAAATTAAGGACCAAATGGACGAATAGCAATGGCACAGTGCTCCCCTTGAGTCACTGAGGCCAAGGTCCCTCCTTGCTAAGTCTCTGGTTCCACTCCAGAATCGTCCACTCTCACCTGGTTCTAACAGCAATACAATTGTAAAAGGATCTGGGGGCCCTCATATTGGGAGACCCCCTAGGGTATGTATAGTGGTGCAAATGTCATGAATAATCTGCCTAACTGGTGGGTCCATGAATTTCAGAACACATGTCTGCAGAATTCAGTCTAGCTCAAACTTGTGTCCAAAAAAGTATTTTGCATTTTTCTCAATAATTTGTTTGTCAATTTAGTCTCAAATCATATATTTTGGAAGCTATTCAAATGGGCATGTAAAGTGTTACTGACACCCCTTTAGACAGTGGTCAGCATGAGCACAGACATTGAGTTATCCCAAAAGGCTCGCATCCGAAAAAGTATTTTGCATTTTTCTCGATAATTTATTGGTCAATTCAGTCTCAAATTATATATTCTGGAAGCTATTCAATGGGGCTATCCAACTATGTAAAATGTGTCTAGACCGTGGGAAACAGTCTTGACACCCTTCTGGACAGCAGCCAGCAATGTGCACAGACAATGAGTCCATAAGAATATAACAATAGTTCAGATGACTCCGCTACAATATAAAATGGGGGCCCCTACCCCCATTTGATAACAATACATTCATAATTATATAGAAGGGGCCATAGGGGGACCCCCATATTGGGAGACCCCCTAGGGTATGTATAACAACGCAAAATTGATACCCTATAGGGTCTCTCCCCTGGCTGATCAGGCTGAACACAGATACTACCAAAGTCTCGTATCTGGGCTTTGGATATTTTGCCTCAAAATGCAGTGACTGTACTGTAGTGGTCAGTTGATCAAAATGCTCCGAGGGACATGTGCACTTGAGCATAGGACAATATTATAATGGAATAACCGCTTGCTCTAGTAGTAAAGCTCAGTCTCACTATATGCGTGAGAACTCTTATATTACCTAGTAGTAAAGCTATAAGGTAATATACAATGAGTTATAAGATATAAGAAAGAAAGAAAGATAACTAACCTCAGTCTCACTATATGCGTGAGAACTGAGGAAAAGGGAAACTAATTCAAAAGATTGAATATAGTTTGTGGACTTCGAAGATAAGTCCGAAGTGACCAAAATAAGTAAGAAGAAAAGGTGTTGTGACCAAGTAGTCACGCTACCGCGGGAATGTGGCTGTCCGGGCGAGTTCCTCGCTCGGGTGTGGGAATGTGGCTGTACGAAAACTCGTCCGGCCTCCCATAGCACACGGTTCCTCCAACATATTATATATTGATCTCTTCAATTCAGAAGTAGTGTTGCTAGTGTTGGGGGAAGCGGAGTTGTCATGAATGAAGAAAGCAGCCAATGAAAAGCCATTGCATCAAGCGGAGTCAGACAGGGTCATATGGTGGACTCTGGAGATGGTGATGAGAGCCATAAGCGATAGGCACAGGCTGCTAGGCAGGTACCATGACCAGCCTCTGTAGCAAGCTGCATCCTATCAGCACTCCGCAGCATGCTCGGCAGGTGGACTGCGACCGAGTTCTTGGTTTCATAAGAAGTATCGCTAATAATTTGAATGAACCCCTGCGGGGGGCGCCCACCTTGTTGTTGTCCAGCGCTCAGCCTCTGGGTGCGAAGAAAACTTAATTGTCAATATACTTAATTACTTGTAGATGAGCGGTAAGAACTGATGTTCACGTCGTTTCCGTCCACGCCCACCTTCCCTTCTCGACGAACATAACACCCGAATAATGGTTGCACTCCAGATTTCTAGCCGCGAAACGTGCTGCAATTCTGTGCACTTGCACAGCTATTCTAGTACCGATAATATTGCCGATACGTGCCCACTAGCACAGATACGGAGGATTAAGCGAGATCAATATGTATGTTTCGCCATTAAGAGCTTTCCATTTCTTCCACCCTAGGTTGCCTAGGATCCGTCATTTACTTAAGGGCTTGGCTTGGTCGCTTGTCCCGGCCAGTCGCGACCAGCGGAACTCCCTCGCCTCCTTTGTTCTGCCCTCAAGCTACGCGGGGTTTCCCAACATGTTCAAGGGCGCTGCTCTTTTCTTGCTTCTCCTCTGCACTGCTTCCGTCTTCGCCTTCCCTTTTCCCCAAGGGCAGGTGTTACGCCGCCTTGCGCCTCAGCTCCGGGACCCTGTGCACGGAGAAACGAACGCGAAGCGACTCGCGAGGGGCTTGCCTCTTTTACCGCCAGCTAGGAGGTGGAATGCTGAAGCTTCACGAACTGAGAGTAAGTCTACAGCCACCTTCACTGACGCGTAGCACGAAGATGTACGGCGTGACTAAATGCGGGTTGATCTCCAGCTGCCAAAAGGGCACAGGGCAGCGACACATACCACTGGCACGGAAAAATTCAAGTAAATGCCACGAATAATGGAAACTTAGTTGGATACCTCGAACTGGGCACCAATTGGTGGGTGTTTCGTCCGCTTTCTTCAGTCATGTCGCATCTGTGACGCCTGCCTGTCTCTTGATTGATAGGTACATAGTAGGTACGGAGTCGGACGCCGATACTTTCTCGGCGGCATTTCATGCGTATGGCATCAGTCATAGCGTGAGTTTCCAGAGTGATTTAGTGCGTTATCATTTCTTCCTCTGTTTACCATTGAGTTTGATTTACAAATGCAATTCTCCAGAAAACTCTGAGTGCCCATCCCTATTTGGCAGGTCTCATCGATCGGGGGGTTGCACTCGGTAAGGGAAAGGCGAGCTATGCTTTTTTGGGTTCTTCAGTGCAAAGTATGTTGGTCCAGGAGCACTCACTACCTAACCCGATCCAATTCCGTCGATTTGCCCGCAGCTGGATCCAATGATCCCCCTCAATCTGGCGGCGCAGTTTCCGTTACTGGAAAGAACTATGAGACGGCGTTTTGGGATTACGATCCTACAACTCAAATTATCACACCCAACTGGGTGGATATTGATAACCGTGAGTGTCTCCTTTATTCCATTCAGGGATTCATACCCTTGGCGGCGAAGGACCTCTCTACCCGCATTGCATGGTGACACTCACTCAGGACACTTCCACAGACACGCTAACGCTATCCGTCGTGTGTGAAAAGTGGTACGGCGATAAGAAGATCTATCTCACGACAGATGCGCAGGGCGTCATGATTGCTAATCGTTACTCACAGAATGTGGTACGTGAACCATCAAAATTGGTATCTCAGGTTGTGTATGAGGCTGGGCTGCTGATTTTACGTGTCTCTTGCAGACTCTCTCTGTGGTTTGAACCGGGACCGAGCTGAGAACCAAACCTAGGCAGCCGACTCGGCCTACTGAATAGTAGAACATCAGCAAAAGGTCCTCAGGGTTTCACTTCAAATGGTTTGAAAACAATTGAGTTCACTTCTGAACTGAATTGAAACATGACACCTTTACTAAAATGCTTTGGGAAATTGGTCAATTCGGCCAGTTTCATGGTATTAGAAGCAACAGGATCATCAGAAGTGTCCAAAGTTGACCACGACAATTTCCTGATGAAGCACCGCTTAAGGCAAGGGAGCATTACATAACCAATAGAGTCGATGATCGCATTCATTTTTTTGTATTGGGCACGCAATTGTGATGACCCGCACTCCTTTACATGTAATTATGATGACCACCATGCCTTGTTTGGGATTGTAAAGGTGATTATGGTGACAAATTCAACTCAACACTTTTTTGCCAGAATGTCCAACCCTGATCACCAACTACAACCTGACTGATGCCTGCATGCTGTCAGGGGATGACTCCCAGGTCCCCATGACCTTTCCCTATGGCCCACAGCCTACTATGCACCACCTTGGACAACTGATATCTAGGCCTATGGAGGGGGGTTCTCAGGATGTTCAAAGAGGGCCTAGAGGCCTCTTTTGTATGGGAACATCCCAGGATGTCCTGAGAATTCACTTTCAATTCAAACATTCTGTCTGGGGCATCCTTAATTCAAACTGAAGTCACATTTCTGTTGCTATCCACTTCTGTAGCTGTGTGCATCCTAGAAATTGCAGAATCATGAGTTGGAGTGATAATACGAAATAAAGAGGAATTTTAGAGGAATTTATTGCAAAAAATTCAATGGAAAATGGTTGAGAACTGATGGAGAAATGTGCAATTCTCGGTTCACTCAACACCGGCATGTATTGCAGTGTGCAAACTTTGAGGACATTTGAACTATATTCAGTGAGATGGGGGAAATGCACAATATATTCCCTGCTCCTTCCATACTATCTTGCTCATTTTTCCACCATTTTGGATGAGACCAACTGCATTGGAAAGCTAAGGTTTAGTATAGTTTAATGGTGTAAGGTTAGCATCGTTATGGGGAGTGGTTGAGGCTTCCAACACAATTTTGGGTTTCCAGGCCACTTTCTTATTGTTCTGTCTTTTGTAAATTCTTTTATTAGTGTTTTCCATTTCTTAAAGCCAATTGGAATGTTATTGAAGCTACCATGGCATATTATCTCTGTTTGTTTCTACAGGGAAAAGTTCATGCATGACAAAATAACTATTTTTATAGTTTTATGTTGTAGCCTACAAAGCACACAGGCCTAGTCTTTCCACCATTTTAACATCCATTTCCCACCCATATTACTCGCTCTTTCCAATTTTTTTCTATTTTTCTGAAACCATTTTCAGTTCCCAAGCAGGACTCTCATGCATAACATAACTTTCAACTTCTTACCCCATGATCTCCACAACTATGCCTTTAAAACAAATGTTCTTATGCTTGATCGATAAAGTGGGATTATCTCTCCTGTCATGCAAATTTTTGTGCTGAATGGACCAATATTAGTAGAGATTCTTGCATGTGGTCCATTCAACACCATTGTCAGAGACCGGGTTCAGGACAAACAAGGATGTCCCTATAAATGGAAGGCTATGGCCTCAGCAACTCTGCCAGGAGTGCTGTGCCCAGTATCACATCGGTTCCCTAATTTGAAGACTGAGAAGAACTCTGGAAGAGGGGGGTGTCTGTTAGATCTAGCGGATTCAGACGACTCTGGAATGGAATCGGAGACTTAGCATGGAAGGACCTTGGCCTCAGCGACTCATGCAGAGCACTGTGCCATTGCTGGTTGTCCTAGGGGTTGTCAGGGGATGACTCCCAGGTCCCCATGACCCTCCCCTATGGTCCACAGTCTCAGGTGTAACCAGCCCTGTCCAGGGCACAACAACTTGCCTACTGTGGGTCAGAGATGAGAAGGAAGTTAACTTCTCATCTTCCCACAGTGGCCACAATATCAGCAAAACTTCTGGGGATACCTGGAAGTCACATGAAGGGGTAGGAACCGGGCCCGGAGCATGCGGCACGCGGAGCGTGTGGGAAGTGTGGCAGGTGGAAGCAGGTCCAGATGCGGGTCCGGGTCTGGGCTAGTCAGGGTGTGTGCCCTGACACTCTTCCACAACACCATCATCCACCAACATTCCCTCAGTGTGGGGAATGGGGTTGTGGGGCAGGGTGGGTTCTATTACCTGCAAATATGGCAATGGTGGATTATTATCCACCATTGTGTAGTGAGGAGGCAGAACCTGGGGGGGCCCCAAAATGGCAGAACTAGGTTCACTTATGTGCAACCTGGAAAGGTTGTATGCAGTGGTGCTAGTTGCCTTCATCATTTGAGCTGCTTCTGAGTGGTAATGTTTCCAAAGGCAGCAAAGAAGGTACTTCTTCCCTGCCTCAATAGTGTTTTCAAAGTTTTGGGGACAATCCCCAAAACGTCCATCAAGTTCAGTGGCAGACACATTTTGTCTGTTCACGAACTTCATGTTGAAAAACCGACCATGGAGTTGGCGAGCCTCCAGCAAAGTGCTGTCGAACCCATCCCTCATTTCATGGTCAAGCCATTTCAAGTCCACCATGAACTTGAACCCAGTTGTTCCTTGTCAGGGACCAGTCCAGGGTTGAGAGTGCCCAGGTGTATCGCCTGGGGCTGAGGGCCTGGTGGGGTATGAAGCAGGCACATGTGGCGATGGGCCTGATGCAGACAGGTGTCCCTGAAGTGGGAATGATGTGAATTATCATTAGAAGGAAAACTAAACTACTTACCTGAAGTGGGAATGGTGAGAAGAAGGCTGCTTCTTTGGTTCCCACTCCAGGTATGTTTATATACATGCCACTTGGGTCACATGGGGGTTGCCACATCGTCCTCATGCACAGCCCCAGCCATCTGGGTATCCCCATAGGGGATCCCAAAGAGATCCGCTGCAAGCATGTGCACTGGGTGCATGGGGGGGTTGTCCAGAGCACCCAGGGCTAGGTGTGTCGTGTGTGGATTGTGGATGGGTCAATAGTACATTGATCAAAGGAAAGTCATCTGTGTAAATAGAAATAGAAAGAATAAAGAATGATGCAGAGGGAGAAATAGAAGGAGGAGGAAATAGGAAGAGGGGAGAAGGGGGTAGTGGGTTTGGTGGAGCTGGGTGGAGCCAGGTGGGGCAGGTGTGCCCTGACATTCCACCACTTTTGGCAGCGGTTCCGACTCTCTGTTACTGGCCAGTTTTGGCCACTAATGGTGACACCAAAACAGAAGTCACCCTGGAAGAACATTCCTGGGATGAGGATGTTCCTCCAGGAGGGGAGTGATTTGCCTCAGCAAACCAGGAGTATCCCTCTGGGATTAATGAAGGAACAGTGTCAGGGCACACCCTGACCCCACGCTGCACTGCCCTACTCCGCTTCCCCCACTATCACTCCCTGTTCCCCCTTTTCCCTTTTCTTCTTTCTCTCTATTTCTATTCCATGGTCAACTTCCCTCTTCTCTATGTATCACTACACACCTAATGCTGCTCTCCTGATCACTGCACTCACCATGCACATTTCCTGCCTACAGAGCAGCACACCTCCAGGATCTCCCATGGAGACACCCAGAGAGGTGTGGCTGTGTGCAGAGATGATGTGGCTCCCCCCACGTGACCCTAACTGCATGTATATAATAGTGCCTGGGGTGGGAACAGAAGAAGCAGCCTTCTTCTCAGCTTCCCACTTCAGGTAAGTACTGTAGTTTCCTCCCCTTTAATGATAACACAACTTCCCACTTCAGACCAAGTGGTCAGGGATGCTCACCCTGTGACGGGACCGCTGCTATGCATAGCTGACACTTGTCCCACTGAGTGTTATGGATATAGACTAGAATCTTATGGTCCATGGGTGGACCCAGGGCCTCCCCCCATTTTACTTCTCCATCAAACCCCATGCCAAGCTTTCCCACTGGGTTTTGGTGCTGGCTGGGGGATTTGTTGAGTTTCAAGGGACTTCCCTTGACCATTATAACTTTTATATTAGATAGTTAGAAGTCATATGATGTGTAAGGCAGATGCCGAAAATGTTTTCTCATTATCGAATACATAACCCACAAACCTTGTACCGCAATTGTAACATCCTCACCATTGTGCCACCACTGTAAACTCAACCTGTAACCTCAGAACCATGTCCACCTCCCTATTCATCCTCTCCATGACAAAACCGCAACGAGGAGGGCATTCCCATGCCCAACCTCCTGCTGCCCGCTCCCACCAGTCCACCAGGTGGTTGAGCAGTCACTCCCCTCCAACCAGAAGTTCCCTATCAGGAACTGTAGCCTATCCCACCTCCTTAGGAGAGGGATATGGTCCAGGCAGCTCCAGGATGCCTGGCCACACACCCACAGGCCCCACTTCCCACGGTCACCCACTACCGTGCACTGGTCCACCAGCCCGCTTTCCCCAACAACTCCCGCTACCGGTACGCTCCCATGAGTGCCAAGTCACCGATAGCCACCCACTGGGTGACTCCCTTTGGGAGTCCCAGTATCCCATGCTACCGGTACGCTCCATTGAGTGCCAAGTCACCGCTAGCCAACCACTCCCAGCACACCCACTACCAGTACGCTCCCAGGAGTGCCAAGTCACCATTGGCCAACCCGCAGGTTGTACTTCCAAATACTCATCCCATTCCGCTCTCCCTCCTCTGGCTACGCAGCCACCTCCATTAGTGAGCCGAACAGTTCAGGTTGGGTTCCCCGGAACCCATTCCTGTAACACTGAGTCCCTCATGCTGGGACTTCGCCGCTTTCGGAGCTGTCCCTGACAAACAGGTGTCCTGCTGTTTTGTGGGGTAGGTGCCACTATGGCACCAAAAGAAGATGAGGGCCCTTGAGGCCCAGGAAGGGGGATGGGAGCCACATGGTGGCCATAATGGCCATCCATGAGGCTGGTCAAAGGAACTTTCGTCCATTGTGGGATGGGAGGTCATGCAGTACAGCTATGTGCCTCCATGTTTGAAGCAGTCATAGGGACCACTGCCACCAATCTCTTCATGCAGGTTAACATCAGCTTGTTTAACAGCTGAATGAAGGTAGGGGTCAACCCCTCCTCAAAACCTTGCTTCATATCATGAAGCACAATTTGTTTGGGGTTGCTGTCTAAGGTGCAAGCTAGAGCATCTATATGAAGCTCATTATAGCTTGGGCCTTTCCACCCATTTCCTGATATCCAGGAGGTGAGCTCCACCAGCCAGTTCTCGAATTTTTTGAGATCATTTTCCCCAGACCACAGAGTTCTTTTTCAGTAACTCTGGCTTAACATTGGCTGGAA